GAAAATTTAATTTGGAGCTACTCTCAAACAAAATGGCAATGACTGTGCTCAGTGGGAGGTCTGGGGAGTTACAGTGAACTGTTTCAAGCTTTTTTCCACGGTCAGAAGCTTTGAATCTTGACCATCGTTGGACACGGTGGCCTACCTCTGGCCAGATGCTTTAAGCAAGGTAAACTGGTGACGAGGATGCTTTTCAAGTGGGGCCAGATATTCTTCTGCCTCTCCACCCTGGAAAAACCTTGGAAAAGCAGGTTGTGCCAGTGTGAGATAAGTGTCATCCCTACATGTGTGAATACATTTTGTGGTGCTAAGACACAATAACAAGCAAAACAAAAAAGCCTTGAAGAGTCCACTCACACAGGAGGAAATGATCATGAAATCTGCTCCTCCATGGTGAGACCAGAATCAAAGTATTTCCTCCCTTGTGGGAAGACATCCCTTATAGTTGATTTCTTCTTTCTCAATTACCCTTTTTTGGGGAAAAAAGAAATGCCCCAATTTCCAATTTTCCTGTTTTCACTAATCCCACATATTCATGAGGGGAAAGCAATGCCGTCATTCACTGATTATAGAATGGCACTCTTACACATGCCCAGGAGTCTTCTAGAATTGAGTACATATTCCAGAATCAGGCCTTGGCCTAGAAAAGGAAAATATTTTGAGGGCTGGGTTGTTTTTTAGTGAGAGAGGCAAGGAAATGGGTCTGTGGCCCTATTCAGGAGTCCCAAGAAGAGCTAATTTGAAAGTATGAGCAGGAAGGATGTTCCAGACCAGTCCCCTTTCTGTTGTGATGTGAATCTGAGAAATCTGATTTTTCGGGATTCCCCATTGCAGGAAAAGATTCCATGCGGAGCAGAGAGGCTTTCCTCTTCAGGCTGTTCCTCACTTTCTGGGAAAACTCGTGCTTTCATGTTAACCTTTTTTTTTTTTTTTTTTTTTTTGAGTGTCCAAACAGGGGCTTCTGTGTTTGCCCTGAAGGCAGAGGGAGAGGCCAGTCCTACATAGTGCCTTCCAATGATGTGTCTGCTGGTAACAGTAGAAGTTACTTTATTGCCTCTCACTTCCCCAAACTGCAGCTACAGTAACTGGGTCAGGTTGCTTCTGAAGCTGAATCTTAAATAGGAGAGAGAACAGAATTCCCCTTGGTGTACATGAGGAGTTTCTTAGATCCTTCCTCAGTAAGAAGTTAAAGAAGGAGCTCTACATGCAACTGGAAAAATTACTTTTTAGATTACAGCTAGCTCAGTGGTTTAGGTATCTGCCTGCAGAGCTAGAGGTTGGAAGTCTGATACCCCACTGTGCCTCCTTGAAAGGGACTGGACTTGATGATCCATCAGGATACATCCAGTTCAGCCGTTCTAAGATGATTATTATTAACCAGCTTGCCAGTACGACTGGTGCTTCTTCAGATACTCCTAGCACCCATTACTACAGGCCATGCTGTCTGGAGCCGACAGGAGTTGGAATCTAACTATATCTCAAGGGCCAGAGGGTCCCTCAAATCCCTGATCTTAAAGAATCCAGAATTCCTCTTTATTCTTAAATGAACCCACCAAAGAACCAGCCAAGATTCTCTCCCTCCTTTATTTAAGAGTAAAATTGTGGTCCTACACATATTTACTTGAGCGTTAGGCCCCCAGGACACTATGTGCTGAATGGAAATGCAACCCTGCTTACAACATTAAATGGACTTCATGTTAGTCATTAGTTATTTAAGTCTGGCATCGGGAAAGTGTTTGAGAATGGAAGTTCCAAACGTTTTCCAACTTGGTAGGTTTTACCAATTACTGATGTAAGAAAACATCACTGAGCCAATTTCCAACTTACAGAAAGTAGTTCATTTCAAAACAGGGTTGAAGGGAAAGAAACGGCAGGATTTGAATTCAAACCTCTGGCACAAAACTTTGCCTCTTCACACCAAGGGCTTAAAAACAGTCTGAAGAAAACTGTGGGCAAACAGAAGATATTTTGCATATGCTCAGATGCTTCTTTTCTCCTTGTAACTTCTAGAATTCTGAATCTACACCCTAGAATGAAAAGTAGGCTGTGGTAAACCCTGGGTCTAATTTTTTTTAAAAGTTTTATTCGGTGTAATGCAGCAATAAACCAAAACTATCCAGTTGAGACTTGACATCTCTCAACTATGTCTTATTCCCTGAATTCATTCCTTCTTCTGAAATAATTAAAAACTATGTTAAACTTGGTTTGGTTATTATTCCTGTCTCTGATAGAAAACCAAAGACAATGGAATATACATGGAATGGAAGATCTGGTGAGATTACCTTGGAGCTGGTCAAGACTTGCCAAATGAAGTTCATAAAAAAACCAAAGATAGATTTTATTTAGGTTGTATTTTATAGTGAAATCTAGATTAAGAGTCTGAAATTTTAACTTATTTGGGCTACAGTATGCAGAACTCTTGGTGCTGTAGGAAAAGAAATACTACTTTCTCAAGCTCTGACTAGAAGTGGCTCAGACAACTGGCCGCATTAAAAAAAAGAATTGCAATTCTTGTCATTTCTCACCATTGGTCATGTTAGCTAAGGCTGATGGGAACTGGAATCTATGAACATCCAGAAGGCTACCTATTCTTCACCTCTGACTCAAGGAAAAGGATGATGTCAACATTTTTGAAAGAAATGTCTATCTCCACACACGTTTTTTTAGCTCATACGAGAAAAACACAACAAAATCAGAAATATGTACAGTCTGATCCCATTCATGTTGGTTTAGATGTACACCGCAATAGCTCTCAAGTGCACATCAATGAGATAGTAGATGGGCAAACCAATACATCACGCACATTATCTGAAAAGTCCTATTAAGAAGTTTGATTCCTCCCAAACAACCACACAAAGCATTAGAGTTTGTATACAATTAAGGAAAGAGAGAGGGAGATAAAGGAAAGTTATCCTTTTGAACGACCACTCTAGGAATATCCCAGTCAAGAGAGTAATGTCAAAAAACCTCCAGTCAGCATGCCTACTAGCCATATTGGCTAAGGAATTCTGGAAACTGTCATGTCTGCTGATGTCTTCTAGGAGCTGTAGTAAAAAGCAAGTCACTTCTCATATCTAGAGGAACCATAGTTCAAACGGACAGACTGGCTACAGCACTATCATATTTTTTCCACTTTAGTTTTCCTTACTAATAATAGTAATAATTGTGTGCCATCAAATCAGTTCTGACTTATGACAATCCTTTTCAGGATTTTATAGGTAGAAAGTAATCAGAAGTGGTTTTCCATTCCATTCTTATAAGGGCATCCTGGGACTGTGCAGCTTGCCCAAGGCCACACGGGGGAATCAAACTCCCAATACCTAAACCACTAAGCTATCTAGCCAGCTCTTTGTTACCCAGGGAGCATTTATCTGGCATAAGATGTCCCACAATTGTCACAACTGCTGAAACCCTCATTTGACACACCCATGAAAAGTGCAAAAACTTTATCTCGTTTTACACCTGGTCATTCGAGTTCTCTCTAACTTTCAGCTTTAGCTTCCTTCATCCACCCTCAGACTTCTCCATTGGCTTTGCTGGCTAGGATGGATAAATCGAAGTTCTCTCTAACTCTTAGCTTTAGCTTAATTCATCCACTCTCCTTTGGCTTTGCTGGCTAGGATGGATAAATCGCAATCCAACACTCTCTGAGAGCAGAACTTGGAAAGTGAGCAGAACTCACTCTCTGAGAGCAGATCCTTTTTTATTATTACAATTCCCAGAATCCACGACATAGTGTGGCCCAGTGGGCATTGTCATCCCGGGAAATTAACAACTTTCAATCTGAAATGGCCCTCTAGGCCCTCTAAATGTTCAGAGGTGGTGTGCTCTCCCTTTGGGAAGAGGAGTAAAAATATATATTAATGGAAAGAATGACAAGTAACTTTTTTTAAAACAAAATCCAAAGAATGCATGACAGTATAATTTTATTTAGCTGTATCTGGTCAGACCAGTTTGTTTATTATAGTGCTTATTAGTAATGCCACACAGTCATGTACTCTTGGCTGAAATGAACCCCCCCACACACCGGGAGGTGAGGTATGGGCCATATGGCCCTACTGCCATGCCCCCCCCCACTCCAAGGCCTAACCACACACAAACAATCAGGTTTCTATACCACACTGCCCTCTCCTGCAGCCACCACCTCTTTCGGACTCCCAAGCTTCTTTGGCTTCAGGATGAGCCAAAAAAAACAACAACCCTAAGATGGAAGCTGCCCAAATAAGTTCCATTGCTCCACCCATATGTTTTCCCCAGCAATTCTCCTTTGCCTCTCTGGACAATCTTCAGAACATCCTGGATTTCAAAGCCACGACTAGATATGAATAGGCTAGTGACAGCAAAGGAATGACACGGATGGGAGATGTCTTAGCCCCATTCCCTGCTCATCAGTTTTCTATCAACACCATCTTTTCCTAGGATAACCTATGGTTTCTGTTTGCTCAGATCTGTAGCTGTCCTACAAGACATCGCTGTTACTCCTCCCTGCGACTGATTCCCTCCATCCTAAGCCACTGCTGTGATCTCACAAGAATCTCCATCAACATTCCAGCTGCTCAGGCTGAAAGGCACAGATCAATAGTTAGTGCAACGACCAAGAGAGGAAAGTAGAAGGTTAGTTTGCCAGTGTAAAGAAGGTTAGTTCGTCACCTTCCAGCCTGTGTAGGTGCTGTAGAAATGGGAGAATGAGGAAGCAATGTATGTGCTACAATGGAATGGGGGGGGGAGCCTTGTTTCAAGATGGGAGGAAAACCCAAAACCTGTAATTATTTTTTATCACAGGCAATTTATTTTATTTTCCCTGACTGGTTGTTAAAACTCATGGTATTCCCCCCTTCTTCCATACAGCCCCATACAGCTGCTGGTGTTCCATCCTCTCTCATTCACATTTCCCGAAACAGAGGCAGAAAGCCGAGCAGAACTACACACACACTGGCGCGCGCTCTCTCTCTCTTCCACCCTCCCTGCTCCCCTCCCTCAGTTTGCCTTTGAAGTCCTACCTGAGTCTGGGTCAGTCCCAGCTGTGCAGCCAACTCTGCCCTCTCTGGCAGTGCCAGGTATTGCGCCTTTTGAAATCTCCTTTGCAAGGCAGCCAGCTGGTAGCTGGAATAAATCGTGCGCGGCTTTCTGATTTTTTTGGGTTTTCCATTGACCATCCGCACTTCTGGTTCAGGTTCTTCTTTCACAGAAACTGGAGAATCGGGGAGGGGGGGCAATGATAAGGAAGACACCAGGGAAGGAAAATAACAACATTAAAGTCAAAAAGCAGTGCAATGTCTCGGGTTGATACTAAAACTGGAATCACTTGGAACTTCTACACTCTGACCTTTGTGAAAATTGATCTTATCATTTGGATGATCAAGGTATATTCAAGGAACAGAGAGATCTGAATTTTCAGTCATCAACTGGAGATGAGAATGAATGAAAACTTAAGAATAATGCCACACTCCCCTTTTAAATAAACTTATAAAGAGACGCATTCTCATTATCATAACATCAAAATAATTTTGATCTCCAGTTTGGGATCTTTTTTCTTTCCTCAGTTGTACAGCTTTTGCATCCCAAGGAGGCATCTAACACCCTAACTAGCTCCCGACAAGAAGAATATGTCAATAGATCAAGCTCGACTATGGCTTTAAAGAGCCACGATTCACCGCTCAATGATCTACCTATTTTTAAAACAAGGCAGCTGCCAACAGGGAATAAAAATCCTAATTCTATAATAGCATATGACATTTATTAGACCAAAAGAAAGATCACAAACACCTTTTCCGTAGCATTTCTAAAAATCTAATGACAAAATAACTCCAGAACATATTTACCTCAATCCCATCGCACCCCGATTCTCCACAAACAAAACTAACTTATTCATAATCTCCTTCATTTAGAGTTATAGCTGGTGTAGGGAGGTGGAGGAATAAAATCTGGGCTTGAAGAGGATACTTTTCTGGAGCATTTCATTAAAAATGTAGATCGAATGATCAATAGATCGTTCATAACCATGTTTGCTCAAGCCCTACTGTGTTCAATATAGGTTACTCCCAAGTAAGCATATACTGGGTTTTAATCATAATGTATTTATGTGTACACATAATTTATTGTAATTTATCCTTTCTTCCAATAGATTTTATTTTACTATATTACTCGGCTTTCTATATTCATATTTCTTTGCCTAACAGCCTGCTAATTTTTTTCCTTATTTTTTAAAATCTGATTTTTAAAACAAAAATATTACTATCTCTAACTCAATTTAGCACAGCCTGCTAATTTTTATTGTTTCCCTTATTTTTTAAAATCTGATTTTTTTTAAAAAAAAAATATTACTATCTCTAACTCAATTTAGGGAATGTTACCAAGTCTGGCCTAGCTGGTTTTGCTTTGCTTCAAACTTTCTGCCTGATGAATCTGACTCCTCCGTGCTTCTTCCATTGTAATCAAGCTCATCTTTTAAAATTATTTTTCTTTTCTTTTCTTTTTGCCCCACAAACTCCCTCCGTCATTTTTCTGTCTCACAGCTTCCTAACATACTTTTCTTCCTCTCCTTGGCAGGAAGATTGTCCGGTTACATAGGGACAGTCAGAACCACACAACCCCCATGTTCCCTTCCTGAAATATTTGTGGGGAGTGAGGGCGTAAATTCTAGGCCTGAAATGGCTTGCCAGCATCTTTGGTCTCTTAACTTAAAAAACAGACATGAAAAGTTTTATTTGGAGGTAGAAACTTTTCTCACCTCATCACCCCCATTTCTAAACATGTTTACAGAGAAGCAACTTTCAGCTGGCTGCCTTCCCACCAAAACTGTTGTCTTTCTCTTCCATGCTTTCGCTTTAAGAAACCTACCATCTTGTTTTTCTCTTTTTGCCTTTTAATCTTTCCCTTTTCTTCTCATTCTCCCCCTCCCCTTTTTAGAAAAACCAACATACCCAACCTGACTGCCCTCCCCGGCAGAAATCCAAATTATGGTCTGCAAGTCTTTCAGGATTTTAGGGGGTGGAATAGGAAATTTTGCAAGCCTGTTTAGTGTGAGTGGGAGACAAACAGCCACTCGAAGAAAAAACGAAAATCTGTAGACAAACCAGAAGCTATGGAGAGGAACGGCCTCAGAACAAAATTATTGAAGAACAGTGCTAGGGGAGCAGGAAGAGGACTTTTTCTCTTCATTGTCCACCTTATTTTGTCCCAAGAAGGGGGAAAACAAAATACCAAAATCAACTTTGAAGAAAAGAAGAAATCCAATGGACCTCTGGGATACTAAACCGCTTCTTCCTTTCAAAAAGCAACAATCATCTGTCTGAACATAAAGCAGTTTAGTATTCAAGAAGGGAGCACATGGACTAAATCTGCAAAGATACAAATGTGTGTGAGAGAGATTTCCTAATATGATGGACAAAATGTTTTGAGAAACATAAAGCCACTTCTTTATATTTTTCTCATCCTGCTTCCCAACGGAGCAAAAGGGTGAACAGAATCATACACCACAATCCCATGTATGGCCTACTCAGAAATAAGCCACATAGAAACTGTGCAGTCTTCTGTTGCAGAAAATCTGCCTCCTTGTCAAGGACTAAACATTCCAAACTTCCAAGATCTTCACAGCTACCTTTATGCAAGAGTGGAATCCACATAAGAATGAAATCCCTCTCTCTCTCTCTCTCTCTCTCTCTGTCTCCCTCTCTTTTCTTTTGGCAAATGTTGGTGGAATAAAAATAGCAGGCAGGTTTTTCCCCCTCTTAGGTGGTCTTAGCAGTCATTCTTGGTGAGTGGGTGTGTTTTGTGTTTGTGTGCGTGTACTTCCTCGGAGTCACAATACTGGGAACCTAGTTTCAGCTCATTAATGCTGAAGGAGATAACTTTTATTGATGGGCAAGTGATATGTTCAAGTGTTGGACAAAACAGAGAACAAGAGCGAACCCTGAAGGGCATATGTGAGGGGTGAGTGGGATAGATGGAGACTCCAGATATGTCACCTCCCCTAGAGGTTCTTCGCTTACGGTTGCATCTCCATGCTCCGGAAAAGGTACCTGTCGCCCGCTAGCACAACTTTGTATACTGTCCAATACTTGGATACAACCATACTTTCTGGAAATATATTGCCAAAATATATCTGCCCATTGACTCTGTAAGTAAAAATGTTTTTAGGGGAGAGGATCTGTATTTCAGGGGATCTAAGAAAAAAAGCATCAAATCCAAATTTCTCTCCTTCCCCACCCCAAAAAAAGTTCTACACATCAAGCATTCAACTTCACATAATCTTAGCTTCACTCTGGAAGGCTATGAAAACCAAAAGAACTACCGGTCAAGGACTTTCTTACCTGTTTCTTGACTAGGCAGCTGCTGGTCGCGGAAAGATCCATACTGCCTGTATGAGGAGCTGTAGGGGTAATCAGATTTAGGGGAGTACGTCCCAGGGGTCCCGATGCCATTGAGATTAAACTGGGGGTGGTAGGCATAATGATTCATCGGCTGCGAGGCGTAAGACTGGCTGGGATAATACTCGTGCTGGTTATGCGGGGCGCTGTAGTAACCCAGGTCGGTGATGGACGACTCGGGCAAGGTGGGGGAGTCCTTGGTGGCCGCATGGCAGCTGAGGGAGCTCGAGATGTCCGTCAAGATGCTCGTGATCTTCTTATCGAAGGATCCGCTCATGATGGAGAAAAGCCCCACCAAAAGGGAACGACCACCGCGACTCAAAACAAGAGGAAGAAAAGAGAAACCCCCAAAACCAACCAGAGTGTGCAAGATTCGCGTGTTCAAGAGGTCGTGTGTATGCGCTGGGGGGAAAGAGGGAGGGAGGGAGGTTAATGCTCTCCACCTCTCCTCCTCTTCCTCCTCCTCTTGAGTAGGCTTAGTCAGTCATTGCTCCAGTAAATAGTTGTTTGCTGCAGCTCCTGCTTCTACCGCGCCGGCTGCCTTCCTGTCCTCTCCTCCTCCTCCTCCAGGGAAAGATGTGTAAGAAATCCAACCCAGCCAGCTTGGTTAAACCCTTTAATTAGGGAGTAGGGAAGGGTGGATGCTACATTCCGATTGGCTCCAGAAATATTGCCTCGCAGGCAAAACAGATTCTTAACCCCCCCCCCTTCTCTCCCTCGTATCGCTTGTCCCTTTCTTTTCTATCTTATACTTCAGAAAGAGAGAAAGAAAAAGAAAGAAAGAAGGAGGATGAGAAAATAAACGCGCCCTCAACACTCATTTATCCTCTGTTCTACTCCCAGTTTTTCATGGAGGGGGAAATAACACGCGCGCACACACGCATATACACGTCGGAGGGGAGGTGGGTGCCAAAAGCAGAGGGATCTCTGATTCTCTTGAGAGACGGATTAACTGGTTTAGGAGACGGGAACATCAACAGAAGAGCAGGGAGAGGGACATAATTTTTTTTTGGGGGGGTTGCACGTTCTACTGTTACACCTGCGTTTAGGGGCATTTGGGGATTTTATTCTATTTTATTTGACTTGAAAACTGGGTTGGTAGCAAGGGCCAAATAACTCTTTTGAGTGTTTTTCCAATTATATCTAACACACGGGCTTGTTCTTTTCGAAGTAGTAAAAAAAGAGAGAGATTAAATCAGTGGTGTTGTGAACTTTTTGGTATGTTGTTGTTGGGTGGGTGGTGTGATTTCTGTTGTTTTGTGGAGTTGTTTCTAGTCTAAGGTGCTTTGGAAGGGATGTGTGATATCATTTGCAAATGTTTTTTTAAATCTTTACTGCCCTCCATACTCTAAAAAAAAAAAACAGTAGCAATTCAGTTAGAAATCAGCTATGACTAAATCTCACTGAAGGCAACCTGCCTTGAATTAGTTGCTACTGATTTGTCCATTGGTTTCCATGGGAGGCCATTGCAACAACTCTTGGGGCTGGATCCTGATCCATGTGCCCCCCCATCTCTCATAAACTTTCTGAGATAAATAGTCATTCTTCCCATTTGATGTATAGTGGATTGTGTTCATCAGTTGGCATACTGAGGAAGATCACATATAACCCCATTGAATCAAAAGGACATACCCATTGATGAATCCCTTTGATCTACCAACATTCCATTGGTTGGCTTATCAAAATTCCATTGATTCAATGGATCGACTGGAAGTAACAATGGAATTTAGGCCTGAATATTTTAAATCAAAATTTTAAGCACAAATGTTGACAAACTAGCTGGTGAGGTCAAGATTTCCCCCCAATTTAATTTTTTTTCTAAGCTGAGTCTAAATTCAAGCCTATTCATAACTGTGCATGACATTCATATTTAAATAGACATTTGAATTTTCTGCAAACATGTTCAAGTGTGTTAAGAGAACTTGTTTGAGCATTTTTCACAAGCTGTCATATATATTTTTTACATAAATTTATATGTAAATTTAAATATTTATTTATTTTTACCCTTTCTCATTAAAAGGACAGCTTACATAATTAAAAATACAATATTTAAAAGCTAAAACAGTAAGTATACAAATATTAAAAAAATAATTTAGCAAGTATTATATTAAAAACAGTAAAGCTGAAGTCCTCTAAATATGCCTGTTGAAGTAAGCCACACAGTTTAGAGTGGGACTTCTTAAAAAATGTTGAGTTTCATACTTATTTTCCAGAACAGGAACATGGAAGAGAGAATGGTCTAGTGGTTTGGAGCTCATGGGCTATGAATCGCCATAGACGTGGCTTTGGGCAACCTTTTAGAGATGGACAGAAATGAAAACTTTAAGAGAATACCTGTTCAAAAGATTGTCACTGAGCAAGGATTCAAATGTGGATTGCCCTCAGATCCTAGGAAGCTGTAGTGCCCACCTTTCAAAGTCATTCATATCGATAGGGTGGGTTCCATTGGGAAAAGGTTGAACCCCTCTACCCCGGAACCCTGGTCGGAATCATGGAACCCCCTCCAGCACCAGTCATTTGTTGCTGTAAAAACTTTTAACATGTTCCTGAGAAACCAAATGCAAATCACCCATCAGCTGAAGAGCAGCAATATAAATATGTAGAATGTGGCCCCCTTTCACCATAATTAAAGATTGTGGTGTAGCTCCTCTTTCAAGCTCCTGTGTATGTTGTCCTCTTGTGTCTCAATTGTTATTGAAAGAGTGTATGTGTGGGTGGGTAGGTGGGTGTGCAGACAAAGGGCAGCTCCTCTTTCAGGATCTATGCCTTTGTGCAAGAAGAAGTTTCAATCCTGGGTGTGATTCATGGCTCCCAAACCAACTGACTACCGAGGCCTGGATTTCAGAGTCTCTCTGATATGCTTCTCCTTGACAATATGCAAATATGTGGCAGCTCTGTCATGAGCTTGCTAAATATTTAGGATGTGACTAGGAAACTGGCAATAATGTTGGGAAAGGTCGAAGGCAGCAGGAAAAGAGGAAGACCAAATACGAGATAGACTGACATCCTAAAGGGAGCCAGGCTTGAGTTTGCAAGAGCCGAGGAGAGTAGTTGAAGACTGGACATTTTGGAGATCACTCATTCATAGGTTTGCCATAAGTTGGAGGTGACTTCACGGCACAGAACAATGACAAGGACAACAACCACAATAGGGAATAAAAATGTTTCCTTGATAGCAGAGCTGGGGGAAATTACTTGTTTGGACCAGTGGTTCTTAACCTTTGTTACTCGGATGTTTTTGAACTGCAACTCCCAGAAACCCCAGCCAACACAGTTGGTGGTGAAGGCTTCTGGGAGTTGCAGTCCAAAACTCCTGAGTAACCCAAGGTTAAGAACCAGTGGTTTGGACTATAATTCCCAGTTTTTCCCACCCAGTTTGACTAGAGGATTTTTGAAGTTGCCCAGAAAGTGATGTTTCCCAGGCTCTGATCTCTTTCTGTCACACTTGTTCCCTGTCTTCTGTTTTACACATTGTTATAGATATATTTGATATTTTAGATGTGAATACATCTCCCTATAACTAAGCTGTTAAAATGTCTTTATAATGTATTTGCGAAGGCTTTATAATGTATTTATAATGTTTAAAAGGATTGAATACACATATCAAAATTTGTTGTAAACAACTGCTGGATAGCTTGGTGGTTTAGGTGGAGCCAGAGGTTGGGAGTTCGATTCCCCTGCTGTGCCTCCTTGACAGGGGCTGGACTTGATGATCCATAGGGTCCCTTGCAGCTCTGAAGTTCTAAGATTATTATTATATTGGACAATGAAAAAGGAAAATGTCCAATGTATTCACGAAGGCTTTCATGGCCAGGTTCTAATGGTTGTTGTGGGTTTTTCGGGCTGTTTGGCCCTGTTCTGAAGGTTGTTCTTCCTAACGTTTCGCCAGTCTCTGTGGGTGGCATCTTCAGAGGACAGGAGTAGCACTCTGTGCTCTGGTACAGTTTGTTTGGGGGGTTGAGTATTTATAGCTGTGGGATCAGCTTTTGTCCTTTTCAGGAGATGGGTGATTATGGTGATCACTGTGTTTTTGTTGTGGGTGTATTGTTGTGATAAGGAGGAGAGATTATCTGTCTGTGATTGATGGGTGTCTTTAGCTGATCTTTTATGTGCAGTGATCACCGGTCCTTCTGGCTGGGTAGAGTTTGTTGACATTTTGCAGGCTGTATTTTTCAGTGCTGGTAGCCAAGCTTTGTTGAGTTTTAAACTTTCTTCTTTTTTGTTGAAGCTCTGCTGGTGTTGGTGGATTTCAATGGCTTCCCTGTGCAGTCTAACATAATGATTGCTGGTGTTGTCCAGTATTTCAGTATTTTGAAACAGAATTTCATGTCCAGCTTGTTTTAGGGCATATTCAGCTACTGCCAATTTTTCAGTCTGCAGTGTCTCTCATGTTCTTTGATTCTGGTGTGAATGCTTCGTTTTGTGGTTCCAATATATACCTGGCCACAACTGACAGGTATCCGGTATACTCCTGCAGTGGTGGGGAGGGTCCCTTCTGTCCTTTGCTGACCGTAACATTCATTGTATTTTTGTGGTGGGCTTACAAACAGTATTCAAGCCCACCACAAAAATACAACAAATGTTACGGTCTGCCATCTGTGTCAACTGGGTTGTGTGCTGTGCCAGGATGTGGGATGGCTGCAGGTTGTACGAGAATGAAGAATGGGAAGACAACGCTTGTGTAGGTGGCTAACTTTAGGGTGTAGAAAACTATGTGGGTGTGCATACATTGAAGTACACATGAGGACAAGAGGTTCAGCTCTGAGTACACAGCTGAGATATGTGTGTAGGTCTGTGTAGGTCTGTGGGAGGGGGTGCAGTAGGACATGTGCAAAGCTTGTAATCGTGCCTTTGTTCAATTGCAACTCACTGAATTCCCCAGCTAGAATGGCTATGGGATTCTCAGTGTTGTGTCCAGAAAAAAACTAATTTTTCCAAGCTTTGCAGACAAGTTTGGCTGTAAGGGGCAACACAACCAAGACATATCTTCCAATTCTTGTGGTTCTAAAAAGGAACTTTTCTGAATTCTTTGTATATATGTTTTGGGATCATGGGAGCCAGGAATATTTATTTATTTAACTTATATGCCACCCACACTACCCAAAGGTCTCTGGTCGGCTTACAACAATTAAAATACAGTAAAAAAGATAAAACAATTAAAATACAATTAAAATATTTACTCTAAAACTGCCATCAGGACCCACAGTTGATATTATTTCAATTAAAACCTTTCTGGAACAGGAAGGCTTTGACTTGGTGCCAAAATGTCATCAGCGTTGGCGCCAGACGAATCTAAATTGGGATGGCATTCCATAGTCTGGGGGCAGCTGCCGAAAAGGCCCTTTGTCTACAAGCCATCCCTCTTACCTCCTTGAGGGACTCCTCTTTCAGGTGGGCCCCCTGGC